TAGTACAATGTTGATACAAATTTAAAATTATTCTTGTTATGGTATATGCATATATTTCTGTTCTTATCTAAAATATTGTAACCATACAATATATTCTAGACTACTGAGTGAAACCACAAGAAACATTTTGGTAAAAATTTCTATGTTTCGTGGACAACAACAACAAAAGGCCAGAGGGGATATAAACTATGTTGGTTATGGTTTCTCACACCTACAAATACTGAATTTAAAATTTGACCATATTAGGTTAATTCTGGTTGATTTTCTTCTTTTTAAAAATAGCTAATGATTCTTCACACAAAATGTGTATGTTAAACATAGAGATATATACATATATGTACACAGGATGGAGAGATGGCTCAGAGATTAAGAGCACTGGCTGCTCTTCCAGAGGTCCCAAGTTCAATTCCAGCAACCACATGGTGGCCCACAACCGTCTATAACGAGATCTGGTGCCCTCTTCTGGTGTGCAGACATACATACAAACAGAACACTGTATATATATATATATATATATATATACACACACACACATATAATTATTGTTAAAAAAACATGTTTTAAACAACAACAACGTGGCTTTTGGCAGTCATCTTTTACTAAGGCTATAAAGATCTATTCAGATTAACAAAGGCTGACTTAGAGATTTACACCTAAATATTTATGTCATTGCCAAATGTTCAACAACAAGCTTCTAGAAAATTTAAATAAATGGCTACATATGTTTAATAAATAAAGTACTTGATAAATGTTAAAGCTGCACCTCAATGCTTTTATACAAAAAAATGTACCTTGCTCTGACAGCTAAACTTTATAATTTAAGAGTCACCCAGATGATAAGATGATAATGGTTTAAAAAACATAAAGGATCATAAAAAACAACTAAAGATTACAAATATATGACAGGGCTAGAGTGCCAAAGAGAATCCAGTTGCAATGATGGATCTTAACAGTTTTAGAAATGCTAGGGCCAAAAAAAATGATCCAAGCCTCTAAGTAAAAGAACCAAAAGGATTATAAATGAATCCCAGATATTGAACTTTGAGATTGTTTGCACTCTGGAGCTTGGTTTTACTTTATACAGATTATGGTTATGCCATGTTTTCCCCTTCTTTAAGTAAAAAAAAGGTATTTTATTTTTAATATTGCAAAAAGACATTTGAGAGATCTTAATCTTTTTAAGAACAGTTTTTAAAATATTTAAGTTTAGCCAGGCGGTGGTGGCGCACGCCTTTAATCCCAGCACTCGGGAGGCAGAGCCAGGCGGATCTCTGTGAGTTCGAGGCCAGCCTGGGCTACCAAGTGAGTTCAGGAAAGGCGCAAAGCTACACAGAGAAACCCTGTCTCGAAAAACCAAAAAAAAAAAAAAAAAATTTAAGTTTATAAGGCTATGGGACATTTTCAGCTTATAAAATGCTCTATATTGTTAGTATTTGGGCTTAAAATAAAAGACTAAAAATTAAGGTCACAGCCATGAACACCAAATACTAACCAGAAACTGGGATGTTCATTTCTTATGATGCAGTAAGACAACAATAACCTAGACAAAGGGACTCCATGAGTCTAGACCCTTCAAGGATTAAAACAAACAAAAAACCTTTTACAGGGGTGGCCTAGGACCACCTGTATTTCAGATGTTTGCTTTGAGTTTCAACAATGGCAAAACTACAGTTATAAAATAGCATTGAAAAAGTTGAAAACCATTGATTTGGAGAATGTTTCTCCTTACCCAAGGTACATTCAGGCCTAAGAATGTTGTCTAGCTCCTTGTCTTTGCTAAATTTGTTAAACTTAAGCTATTTAGATTAACTGAGTTATATAAGTGTTGTTATATAGGTATTTTGTTTTGGTTTCTTTACTGAACCTGTATTTGATACTAGAAGAGAGTCATTTCAAAATCATTGTTTTTAAGGCTACTTATTGTAGACTGTTAGAAAACATAACTAAATAGACAATCATAAATAATCAAGTTCTTTAACTGTAGTCATGCTAAGTACTGATGTAATTAATTATAGGGATAAGCTTTACTTAGTCCCTTACATATATTTTCAGGATAGAAACAAAGTTTGTCTATTCAGATATACCTGGACAGCCCTCATAGTTCAGAGATCTGCAGAATATGGCATTTAAATGTTGATCTAAAAGCTTATTCTATCAGACAGACCCCCAGATCCTAGCAGTGACCCAAGGTCTCCAAAGAAGATTATGTACAAGGCACCACAATGTCTCTGCCTGGATTATGACAACACCGACCACAGGGCAAGATGCCCCAATGCAACGCCTGCGGCCAGGACCCAGCCCAGACTGTGGACAAGCAGCAGGACACTGGAATTGATTACACCCTTTTGCCTGGACAAAGCAAAGTCAGTCTTCCATGTCCCTATTCCACAGGAAAAAACTGCCTTATGGGCCTGATAACCGAAGAAGATGATGTTGTTCTGATACTTGTGCCTCCAACTCTATGGAGACCTGGGTATGGACTGGTCCCTGTCATTTATAGAAATGGAAGCTGCTTGGCCTGCACTCAGATATAATTTATCCTTCTCAGATCTCTGATAATACTGATGGCTAGGCTAGCTATAACTTTGTCAGATTGACAGCATTAGACAACCAGATCTATAGCCAGCTCGTTAGCTCATTTTTAAGAGAATGTTCTAAGATAGAAAAGTTTAAATAAGTCATAAAGGTTTAAATATGGGTCTTGAAAAAGGTCTGAGGATATAAAAGCTTATAAGCTTTGAGGATCTCAAAAAATTATTTCAGATATAAATATAAGTTATAAAGATATAAATAAATGAGTTAGATTATAAAACAATGTTTCAAATTGTTCTCCTGTTCTATGATATAACAGTTCAGAGCTTTACATTTAATAGAGTTCTAATAAGCTGGTAAAATAATAATTACTTACTGTTCAGTCACAAGCTCAACATTTTAGATTTATTTTAGATGTCATCTAAATATATCTAAACATAAACCTAAAAGTGCTTCTCATAAAAAAAAAAAAAAAAACCTCTGTCCAATTTATACCCGACTCTCTGAACAGAAGGAAAATACACATGCTTTTAACTCAAATCTGTAGTTCTTGTTGGGACTCAAAGGTATGAGTCCACTCCTGCTGTTTTGCAGATACTCATTACCTGCTTTGTCTACGATATGGATTTCAGTACAGATTGGTAATACCAATGTATCTAAAACTTTTATGTCATTTTGTAAGATAGTTTATGTAGGCCTCAGAGGATTAAAAGAGTTGGAAGACCTAGATCCACTTCACAGAGGTTTGAAGGACCTCAGATGAGTACAGCTTATTCCTAAAGATGATATTTTTTTTTCTCTCTCCTGGTCTTGGGACTCCTGCTATTCCCAATTACTGAGGATATGGGCCTAAGGGTTCCAAATAAGTTCATAACTTTTAACTTCTGTTCCTAGTTTAAGTTTGTCTCAACAGGTTTCCACTTGGCTGACAGACACTCCAAGCTTCAGTTGCTGACTGCACTGCTCCAGATGACTGTGAGCTCCAGACTTGCTAAAAGCTGACATGGACTAGCCTAGCCAATGTGAATGTTCCTTGTCTCCAGCTGGGTAAAATCAGATGGTTCTGATAAGTGCCTCATTTCCTAAATTCCCTCCTGACCTTTGACTAGTCTTTTTTAGCCTTCCTGGACCCTGACCAACTATGTCCCGATTCAGCTTGAAGAAGCTATAGAAGAGAATACATCATCCCTGCTCCCAAAACAGGCTAAAAAGGCCAAGTCAAAGGAAAACTCCCTGACACAGGGGAGTCAAATTAGCTAACTATAATGCCCATTGATATACCAAGGAAATGGGCCCAGGGTTATCAATTGATAAATTAACTAAAATGATTCTACAGTAATATAAGACATTTAACCTTCTTTATACAGAGCCAAAAAGATTATTATATAGCTTAAAGTTATTATTTTATATAAATCATTCAAGATTATAATCTGGCTTATATTTAGACCTAATAGAATCAAAGGTTTGATTCTGATTATAACTCAAGGGGAGAATGAAGGGTCCAGGAACATAGAAATATAAAATTATAAACTTAAGATATGAAAACTGACAGTCATCAGCTCTAAAGGTTAACTGCTAACAATGGCTGTCTCTTTTATAGTCAGCTCCTCTGTCAACAGCCAGGGGTGAACTTTTAGCCCCCTTCCCCCTTATAGCCAACAACTGCCTGGACCAAAGTTAACTTTTAGTACTTGTTTCTACGTGATTCCCAGCATGCACCTCATGCCTGATGTTTCTGTGTGACTCCTACCATGTACCCAATGCCTGATACTATAAAAGGGGGCCAGTACCCGCCTCCATTGCCACAGCCCCAGAATTCCAACATTGGCTGTGGTCTCAGCTAGCTGATAAGCTTTTGTGCTCTGCAGTGTTTTATTTTAATTTTAACTTTTTATTTTTATTTTTCTGGAATAAAGTTTGCTTCTGGTTTAATAGACTTTGGTGGTCTGTCCCCCATTATTGTGTGACCCTGGACCCAACAAACTGGACATATGAAATGCCCCATATAAGATGTAGTGATATCAAATCACTTCACCAGTCTCTAGGAGCTTGATCAATGTCCACTTTTTCCTTACTGCAGACTCACACCTAGCAGCCCAGGCCACTATCTGGGAAGTACACTCCCAGTAATAAAAAGTAATAACCTAAAGTTCTCCACAGAATTCTCCTCTGGAGAATGGATGCTGACCACACAGGTCACTAGCCCTCTACCGGCCCATCTACAGAAAGGATCTGGCAGGTGTGCTATGAGGATGGATGGCTGGTCTGAGAGCCATGATGACTGACTGTGGAGCTGCTCAGTCTCCAAGCACTCTTCCTCTCACCTCATCTGTAGTACTAGGGGTACTGTCAATAGGGGCTCAGGAGGATGCAGCAGAATCCCCAAGGCAATAGCAATGGGTTTCCCCATCACACAGGATGGACTAGCCCAGAGAGACTGGCAGCCATCACCAGTGGGGCCCACTTACGCTCTCTGGAACTCTGGGATGCTGAAGATGGCCTGCATGACAGAGCTGAGGTAGCAACTGTTCCCCAGGTTCTTCAGGCCCGTGTACCCTGGTCCATACATCGGCTTCAGCTTAGTCCCTGACTCTTGGATCACTTCCCACTCGCTGACTCTTGGCTTGATGTCATTGTCCCGGAGCCCATTCTCTGTCTGAGACATCATGAAAGAGAGAGAGAAGAATAGGGCTTTAAGGGGGATTCACAATCAAAACTTATGAATTATTTCTAATGTAATAGTTGTTTCTGCCATTTTCCTCAAATTACATGGGGAAAATGAACAATCTATTTAAAAATATTAAGAGACAATGATGACTACATAAGAATGTAAATGTACTTAATGTCACAAAACAGTATACTTAAGATTAGCTAAAAGGACAATTTTATGTATATTTTACCACAATTTTTTAAAACATGAAAAGGTTTTGGGTTTTTGTTTGTTTTGTTTTGCTTAGTTTTTTCAGGAAAGAGAAAGAACAAGAAGGAAAGAGATAGGAGGCATATAAAAAAAGAAGTCAGCACATGAAGGACGCAGCTCAAACACTTGCAGAGCATGAATGAAGTCCTAGGTTCCATCCCTAGCACTGCTGTAGAATATTATTTTAAGATGTGTTACATTTGTCTATGCTGTGGAACATATGTTTAATGATGCAAAGATGTGTTGCATTCTTTTATGTTGCATTTTTTTTTTTAATCTCTGTGAAGCTGTGTTACTGTGCCTGTCTAAAACACCTGATGGTCTAATAAAGAGCTGAATGGCCAATAGCAAGGCAGGAGAAAAAGTAGGCAGGGCTGGCAGGCAGACAGAATAAATAGGAGAAATCTGGGGAGAGAGGATGAAGGAGCAAGAAAAGAAGGGGCCAGCCACCCAGCCACACAGCCAGACACGAAATAAGAAGTAAATATACACAGAAATGAGAAAGGTAAAAGCCCAGAGGCAAAAGGTAGATGGGATAATTTAAGTTAAGGAAAGCTTGGCTAGCAAAGCTAAGGCCGGGCATTCATAAGAAAGACTAAGACTCTGTGTGTGTATTTATTTGGGAGCTGGGTAGCAGACCCCCCAAAAGAGTCAAAAGAGTAAAGAATAAATAAAACAGCCAGTTACACAGCACCACATAACCTGGGCATGGTGCACACTTGTAATCCCAGAACTCATGAGGTAAGGCAGGAAGATCAGAAGTTCAAGGTCACTTTCAGCTACACAGTGGGAGGCCAGCCCAGGCTGCATGAGACGCTCACAAAAACTAAAAGCAAACAAACAAACAAAATCCAGGTAGCAAGACAAGGGGACAACTGAGGACCTGCAGTAAACAAAAAAGGCGGGTAAGGGGGAGAGGGAGGAGAAAGGAAGCCATCTGAGAGAGGGAAGAAAGGAAAGGGTAAGGAAGTGAAATGATGGGCATTAATGAGAAAGAGCCCAGCAGCCCAGCAGCATGAGAGCATACAGAGTGCTGGCCCAGCAGGGAGCAAACACAACCTCACACCACAGGCCTCACAGGCAAAACTGCTCCATCATCCTTGAATGGCATCAAGTTAGAACAAATGAGAAGCAAAGTTTACAAGGTTTACAACCGTTTACTCCACCCACTACCCAGCAGCCCTCATTCCTTTTAGTAAATTCAGCAAACTAATGCAACAATTAACATCTATAAAGTAAAGATGCACTTCAGTAGAATTCTATATTAAATAAACTAGAGATGCCCCCCCACACACACACACTCATCACAGACACAGCGTAGAATTAGAGACAAAAATTTTCTCACCCCGTTCGCATGAAGCATGTCGATCCCGAAGTGTGCTAAGTGTTTGGCCAAATGAGGATCCAAAACAGGTCCCTCTTCTTGAAAAGAATAAACATCTGGAGGGTGAAGAGAAAACAGCGCTAAGGTCTGTACATGATATCCAGGCACACTAAGCCTACAGGGGGGCTGGGTGTACCAAAGAGCAGACCACAAAAAATAGATGTAATAAATATACATATTTTATAAACACACATCAATTCTCTAGAAAGTCTCAAAGACTTAAGAAAAAATGGGTTTTCTAAAGCAAAGTGGGGGGAAATAGCTGAAGGCAAGATAACTTAAAATGAGATGAATATGAAGACCTAACCATTGGGCTTTATAACCAATACCCATGAGGGCATAATTCTAAGGCTGGGAAGCAGAGCGAAAAGGGGTGGGGAGAGAGTGACAGCCATCTGCCAGGGCAGAAGACCCTTGGAGTAGACAGGGGATGTACGGGCCCTGAGGTGCAGCTGGATGGTGAGATGTGGTCAGACAGGCTCCTGTCTCTATCCTTTGGGCCATCTCCTTCTTTTCCCTTTGCCCTTCTCTCTTGCCGTAGTGTCTATGATTCACAGAGCGAGTGAGAGATGGAAGTGAGAATGCAGACCCATGCAGCTTCCCAAAACAACCACTCACCCAGCAGCCCACATCAGAACTGAGGAGGCAGGCATGCTCACCCTGGGACTCACACCAGAACTGAGGTTGGCAACATGATCAACCCATCATCCATAACACTATTAAAAAGGTAGGGATGTGCTCCCAGACTGAAGAGATATGCTCACTCTGAGGTCCACACTGAACCTAGGGAAATGGACACATGATTACCCTAAAGGCCCCACACCTGTACTGAGGAGGCAAGTGACTGAGGAAGTCTCAAATGTTATTCCCCCTGTGGCACCCTGGTGCTCGAGGGCAGTGTCTGGCCTCGGGATATTAATATCCCACAGGATAACATGTTTGGGGTAAAGCCCCATCAAATGCACAGACCGTGGACCATGAGTCGGGGCTCCTTGGAAATGGTCCACCCCAGACTTACCCAATCAGACTCTCCATTACCAACAAGACCCCAGAGACACAAAGTTTCAGAAGCGCTGCAGAGCCCTATCTGTCCCGAGAGAGTAATGCAAGGAAGGAGAAGAATGCACACTTCCTGTGTCTCATGGGGAGTCTAATAAAGGCTAAATGATTCCCTCCCATCTCACTTGTGGCCCAGAACCCCAGTGCCTCACTCCTGTCCCATCTCCTTCCTTCTATCTCAGCATAGTCAAGGTATCTCAGGCTATGGATGGTAAGGTGCCATCCAGGCACATTCTAGGAATGGAGACCCCAAACCACAGTCTCTTTCCTTCTAAATTTGGAAAATAAAATGCTTTAAGAAAAATAGATACGGGGTTGGAGAGATAGCTCAGAGGTTAGGCGTGCTGGCTGCTCTTTCCTGAGGTCTTGAGTTCAATTCCCAGAAACCACATGGTGGCTCACAACCATCTATAATGAGATCTGGTGCCCTCTTCTAGCATGCAGGCAGAATATTGTATACATAATAAATAAACAAACCTTTTTTTAAAAGAAAGAAAAATAGATACAAAGATATCATCCTTTAGAATAGTCTCTTCAGCACTGCCTAAGGAGTTTTCTACTCCTTGGAACTTGGAGGATTGACAGAGGGATACTATGCAGATGCTATAATGCTAGGGTGGTCCTCCAACCTACTGTGGCAAAGGGAGTTGGCCTTCTATCACAAACAGATGGGCTGTTGTAGAGATTTCTCCCTCCACTTTGTATTGTGGGTAGCAGCCTTCACCAATGTCTGCTTAACTATAATTCAAGTATTCTCGAAAGCAAAACCAAAAGATGAAATCCCCAATTCAACTCAGGCAGTTTCAAGACAGTAGTGGTCTCTGGATCCTAAGATGTAAGGTAGACTGCCTCTGTGTGAAAGGTAAAAGGTTCACAACAGGAAAAGACTTTATCACAAAGACAGAAGTAGAGGAAGAGTGCTGAAAACCCACAAAGGAAGTGAAAAGATTCTGTTGTGGGATGTTCTGTATGTTACATGTGTTGCTTGATTGGGTAATAAATAAAACACTGATGGGCCAGTAGCCAGGCAGGAAGTATAGGCGGGACAAAGAGAAGAGAATTGGGGGAAGTGGAAGGCTGAGGAGAGAGACCAGCCAGCCGCTGCCATGACAAGCAAGAAGTAAGGTACCGGTAAGCCACGAGCCACGTGGCAACTTATAGATTAATAGAAATGGGTTAATTTAAGATAGAAGAAGTAGATAACAAGAAGCCTGACACGGCCATACAGTTTATAAGTAATATAAGCGTCTGTGTGTTTATTTTATAAATGGGCTGTCAGACTGTTGGGGCTTGGCAGGACCTGGAAAGAAAACTCTCCAGCTACAAGATTCTAGAAAAGAGTAGAAACAACAAGTTTCCAAAAGGCTTAAATTTAAAAAAAAAAAAAATGCTTTCTGAACTAACAATTTGAAACAAATACATTAACATTTTTAATCAATGAGTGAGAAAAAATAGAAAATATCAAATACTTGGCAGAATGTGAAAAATGCCCGTCCCACGGCACTGCTATTCTACTTTCTTTAACCGCTGAGACTTTGAAAGCTTAAGTCACAGCTCTATTAGAAAATAATGAAGGCCGGGCGGTGGTGGCGCACGTCTTTAATCCCAGCACTCAGGAGGCAGAGCCAGGTGGAGTTCTGTGAGTTCAAGGCCAACCTGGGCTAAGAGTGAGATCCAGGAAAGGTGCAAAGCTACACAGAGAAACCCTGTCTCGAAAAACCAAAAAAAAAAAAAAAAAAAAAAAGAAGAAGAAGAAGAAGAAAATAATGAAACTGCTAGAATAAGCTCACCCCCACCCCCACCCTCAGAGACAATGCCCTGGGATCCTGAAGTAAGTGAAAACTACACTGCCTCCGCCAGTTCTTAACCTACTAGGTTTTCTCACATTAAGAAAACACCATTTCCTACTTCAGGTGGCTAAATGTCCAAAGATACCACGTGATTTCGTCAAATATGATAGTCATTTCTTATGCCCATAGCAAAAACAATTTAGGGAGTTCAATACCAGAAACTGAACATGAACTTAATCCTCCTGTGGCAACTATGAAGATCTGTACAAGTGACACAGGATGTCTTCAGAGGTGAGTGCTGCTGCCTTCTGGGTTTTCACTGGAAAATTCACACTCTCTCCCAGTTCAGCTTAGCAAAACTGTCTTGGAACTATCAAGAACTATCCTAGCTTGTAAGTATTGCCAGCCAGGATGCTTCCACACTCCCTGCCATGGCATAAAACCTGACTCAGAAACCGCAGTGGTGAAGCCTAGGGAGAAGCTTCTGGGTGGTACAGACGGTGCTCAGCATTAGCTGATTGGTCGGTTCCAGTTCAAGGATAAGACAAGCCAAAGAGCCAGAGGCTTCAATCCACACAAAAGATAAAGGAGAAGCTTCTGGGTGGTACAGACGGTGCTCAGCATTAGCTGATTGGTCGGTTCCAGTTCAAGGGTAAGAGAAGCCAAAGAGCCAGAGGCTTCAATCCACACAAAAGATAAAGGAGAAGGTTAGAGTGGAAATGCCCCATGCATGGGAGAAGCATGTTACAGGTTCAAAGGACAGTGAAGGAGCAGGCTGGCAGCAGAAATGGACACTGGCACTGAGGTGTGAAACAAGAAAAGGATCTGTAAGACATAACCAAAACAGTAACCGTGTGTCACCTGAACAGAAAGATTTATTTTACTTTTTTCTATTTTCTCACATTGACTGTAGTATTTTAACTGAAAAATATACACGTGGCCTGGCGGTGTCTCTCAGTTGCTAGCATGCTCGCCTAGCAAGAAAAAGCCTTAGGTGTGTTCCTCAGCACTGCATAACTCAGACCTAGTGCTACATACCTGCAATCACAGCATTTGGGAGGAAAGGCAGAAAAGGGCCTCAGGAGTTCAAGGTCATCCTTAGCTACATAGAAAGTTCCAGGCCAGCTCGGGTTACATGAGATTCTTTTGTTTTGTTTTGTTTTTAAGTTTATAAGTAATTCCCACAACTAAGACAATTATCTTACATAATATGTTCTTAGGATTCGTAGACCTCTAGACAAACTTGTTCAGCCACATTGATTAACCCATTCATTACAGTCAACAAACACAACTGAACACAAAATACACACAGACAGGAAGGTACAACGTCGGGTAAAATAAGCAGGGCCCTTGCTCTCATGAATGTAAAGTCTAATATCCCAAAACAGTCTTAGAAGTCATGCTGGACTGTGGTGAAGGACCACAGACACCATCTTAGAGAAGGCTCATTTGTGTGGTCCACACTCTTAACCTCAAGGAAGCTCTCATGCTCGGGAAGGAATCAGGTAGTCCCACTGCTGGGCTCCCAACTTAGAGACCCTGTCAGACACCATGGGAACAAAAGGCCGAGGAAATGCAGGCTGGTCCACAGAGGCACACCTCTCATCAAGAGTTACCTGTGTCCCTCAGGCCATCTGCCAGCCACAGAAAAGAGAAATGAGAGGCTGTGCCAGCAATAGCACTAGAAAACTAAACACAAAATGGATGTACTGACGACGTATGGCCATCACCGGGGCAGGCAAAACCCACACTGAAGTCAGGAAAGGAGGCCTGCTGAGACTAAGCCATCAATCGGTTTCAATGAGGAGCATCTTTCCTCTATTTGTTCACTGCACAAATCCTTACAGCGACTACTATGCAGACGGCAGAGTTAGAGGACAACAGAGATGCTGTCCAGGCTCCACTGTCCCCGGTTACCCCCACTAACCTAACTGCCACAGGGTCCTGTAACAGCTCCGCTGGGAACTAGCACAAGGTGCTTCCCGCACACCAGAAGAGGACAAGCCAGGTTAAAGCCAATATGAAGTCATCAAAGCCTTGATTCCGACCCTGTAGGCTGTGAGAGACAGAAGGGAGCTTATGTCCAGGTCAAGGGTGAAAAAAGCCAAAGAAGGAAGGCCCAGGTGAGGAGCCATGCAGCTGGCACAGGCAGTGAGATGAACCAGTTTGCAGCTGCCTTGGGCATCTAGACTGTCTGTGTGCAGTCA